AATACGATGAAATACACATGAAAAAACAATCTTGAAAGAAAAAGAATGAGCTATAAAAAGTGTGTAATAAACGAGAAATGTATATATATTGACCATCAATTTAAGTGCATAAAGTGCTAATTTGAATGCTACAAGTGAATTAGAATGTTAGAAGTACACCGTCTATTACCGTTTCCGGTAAATCCTCTCTTCTCTATCTCTTCATCACCACTCCTCGCAGTCTCCTCATCTCTCTCTCTCTCTCTCTCTTTCTCTCTTTCCCCCTACCCCCCCCCCAAAGCCCTATATATATTTTCATGTACATTTTCTTAAACCATGATTTTAATTCAATACTCCCATTTCCCCTTCACCCTTTCATTTATTTTCTTCCTTTCTTCATTTCTTTTGTACAACTAATGATGTTTTGCCTCGGTTTTATCACAAAGCGTTGCCTGAGGATCTTCGTAATTCGACTACGTTAAAGAGATATACATGAATGAACGCTGGAATCCCAGTGATATGATACCGTGATTTAAGTTCTTTTTTGGTCAAGAAAAGAAAATATCGCCGTCCACGTTAGAACCACAAGAAAATTAAATGGATAAATAATGGTGGGAAACCAGCTTGTAGGGTGAAATATATCATATATTAGTTGGATCAGGGGTTTCAAACGTTTAGATTTCATATCAGACATGCCATTGAGATGATACTATCCTTCTCTCTCTCTCTCTCTCTCTCTCTCTCTCTTTCTCTGTGTATCTCTCTTTGTCTGTCTCTGTCTCTCTGTCTGTCCGTCTGTCTGTCTGTCTGTCTTGCTCTCTCTCTTTCTTTCTCTCCCTTTCTTCCTCTCTCCCTCTAGGTTTGTCTGTCTCTCTCTGTGTCTCTCTCTATCTCTGTCTTTCTTCATCTATCTCTTTCTCTCTCTTTCTCGCTTTCTCTCCCTCTCTTCCCCTCTCCCACTCTCTCTGAAATCTCCTCTTCATCTACTCCTTCTCCACTCTATACTTGGTTAGTCTCACTCAGCCCACGGTCAGTGTGTGACGTATGAGATTGTCTCGCACAATCAATGGTGCAGCGAAAGGACGGAGGTGTACGAGATGCATCTCCGCAAATCCATAATAAATGGCGAAAATGAAATAAAGAGAAAGAGAAAGATCGAGAGAGAGATGGAGAAGGAGAGAGGGGTCGCGATTGCGAAATAAGATAACACTGTTTTAAATTCCGGACATGGGTTAGCAGAGGCGGCGCTTGGGAGAGTGCCCCTTTTTACTTAAGGTGAATGCCCCTTTTTTTAAAAAATAGGTACCCGTTCCACATTCTTATAAGTGTCCCCTTTACCTGATATGACAGTTGTCCCTATTCAAATCTGGGAGGTACCCTTTTACCTTGACAAGTGCCCCTTTTTCTTTAGTAAGAAATTCCCTTCTAACAAGTGCCCCTTTTCACCTCTGACAAATGCCCCTTTTATTTTGAAACATGCCCCTCATACAGATCCCTATTAATATTTACTAGGTGCCCCTTTTTCATTCAACTAACGCCACTTTTCCTTTATAAGTGTTATTTCAACTGATAATTTCGACCGTCTGCGGTCGCTAGCGGATTCGTCAGCGACAATTGAAGGCAACACACGTGCAATTCGCAGCTTAACGTAGCTTGAGGTACCCCCCCCCCCTATTCGTCATAGTGTGTACCGGCCTTTAAGCAGTAGCTTGGACGATGCAAAGGGAAAACAATGATTATTGAAATCATCCCTGATAATGTATATCAATACCTATGTCTAAAAACTGTATATTTTCGCTTTGATATTTCCCTTTGTTGGGTTTTATACTAGGTTAAGGATTTGGATTTGGTATAGTGTCAAGTAAATAAGTTTACTATAGGAATATGTCTGGATTGACCTTAGAGCAACTGACCTTAGAGCATATGTTGTATGATCTACATGTTTTTATAGGGAGGCTCCGTTGATCTTCATCGGTTTGTTTATTTCTTGTATTTAATATTACTAACAATTAGTAACAATAACAACTAAAAAGCCATTATAGTAGCGTCGTAAAAAGTTAGATTATTACTTCTGATTGCAGAGGAACCATTCCCCTCGTTCGTAGAGTATAAATATTATTAGAGTTATGAGTGTTTACCAGAGACACTAAAATGAAATGTACTGTATGCTCATAAGTTTATACATATAAGGATTATGTTAAAGGTAAAGACCAGTATTGGTAACGCCCCAATTTCAAAAAATGAAATGGAAGCTCTCATTACCAATCATGTGAAAGAATATGTTTTGACTAATACATGATGATAAAAAATTTGCCGGGAAACCGCCTACTAATTCATATATTTGGTAAATTTATCTCTCTCATGGTCGTGTGAGAGAGATAGGGTAGTCCCATATACATCTTTCTGTGTATAGTGCTTGTAACTTTACGAAGAATGGGCCAAATTTCTTATCATTTTGATGATTCCAGAACCTTGCAGATGCTAGATGCTAGATGATCAACCTTTTCTTATCGATTCCACAACGTTTCTTTCACAATGCAATCGCATGACCATTACTGGTCTTTACCTTTAAAGATTAAATTTGAATTCAGGCCAGGGGATTGCATTGTCAAAGACGAGTGTCTGAAAGCTTCTTCTGGTAAAGTGGGAGACGCCCTCTTCGGCATGGATAATCTCATTTTTCAAGACATTATTGTTTCGGGTTTCATCATTGGCTTTGTTTCAAAGCCAATGGTATGAGGTCAGCCTGTCAGCGCATGCGCACTGATGTAACCGTAAACTGGTGTATTGAAATGGAAGTACTACACAAATCCCAGTCATACACGGGAAGTTAATAAAATTAAATTCATACACTTATCCGATTAGAGTAATTTTAGGGCAAACACATTTAAGCCCATACATTGATAAACTGTTAATGCTACGCATCGATTTCTATAGTTCACTGTTATTATTAGGATAATTTGACGGACAATTATTGTCAGTCAAATGTTTAAACGAATTGTTTCGTTCTTCGAACTGTTCTTATTTCGATGTTCAAAAACTGCGACATGATCAAACGAGTAGGGATACTGGCTTGTTAAATTCCAGTCACATTGGGGCACAGGAGAGACCATTCACCTCACGAGGGCGCTGTTTCATTATTTGATTTGTCTGCAAGAGAGTTTGGTAACAGGGTGGTTGGAGGGAATGAGGTATTTTCTGGCTGAATTACGTTTTTAATTTTGTATTGATATCATTGATGATTTTCTTGCCAATATCATACTATAAACTTATTTTCGAATATTTCTGGTTATTGTTATGAGATATTTTATATATCAACATGATTTTAATCATATTCTTCATTAGTTCAACCTTCAATATTTCATATATTTAATGTCTCACCTCACTTTTACTGGACAATGAATTTTTAAACCTAATCCATATATTGACTTTAAACCTATATGATTAGGTGGTGGGGGGGGGGGGGTTTGAGGCCGTCGTAATGTCTTGTTTATATATTTCCTTTGTTCTCTCTTTTTACTAATAATAATGATAGTGAGTTACATTTTATAGCGCTCATGTCTGTCAGACTTGACACTCCTGGCGCTCCACAAGTATAACTTTTACTTTAGCATGGCTGTCATAGCTCTAGCTCTAGCGTTTCAAGAATTCAATTCTTGTCAGGTACCCGTTTACATCACCTGGGTCAAAATATGTAGAGTAATGTATTGCCAAAGGACATTAGTACTGCGGTGGGACACGAACCGCAGACCTTGGGATCCACAGTCCGGTGACGTATCCACTCGTCCACGACACCTCTACTAACTTTTCGCTCTCTCTCTCCCCCCCCCCTCTCTCTCTCTCTTTCCCTTTCTCTTTCTCTCTCTTTCTCTCTATCTCTCGCTCCATCTGTGTGTGTGTGTGTGTGTGTGTGTGTGTGCGTGTGTGTGTGTGTGTGTGTGGGTGTGTGTGTCTCTCTCCCTCTCCTCCCTCTCTCTCTTTCTCTCTCTCCCTTCTATCTGTCTCTCTCTCCCACTCTCTCCCACTCTCTTTCTCTCTCGCTCCCACTCTCTCTTTTCTCTTTCTCTCTCACCCACGGTTGAGCTTAACATGAAGGATTTAGGTAAGTTAACAACATTCAGTGTGTATGTCTTCCTAAATTAAAAATATACGTATTCATGGAAATGTGTATGAATGCGGAGCTAATCGAAATGTTTTGAGCGTAAAGACTTAACTAAATAAGAGAAATGGACATTTTGTAATGACATTTAGTGCACTGGAAAGGGCTGCGCAAACATCCTTCAAATTCAGTTTGTCTCAATCAGTGACAAATGAGCGAGAATTCAATTTCCAATGTTACACTATAAGCTTGACTGTCTCGCCTGTTCAGACCATAAGTAGCTTAATCTCTTCCTTTTCCATTCTCGTTTTCAGTATGATTCCCAACTGAGCACGAGTGAAAATTGGCGAATTGCATCCCGGCCAGCTCCCTGTTTTCTTCCAGCGGGACTCTAAATTCCGACTTTGAATGTAAACCTTTTCTTGTCTGAAGGTATTATCTTCCTAATCGCAATGCTGCAAGACACTAAAAATGATACCTCTATTTAAGACGCCATCAATCTTTTACCTTAGCATGCATTTACATGTGCTCTTTGAAATGTTTGAGTTTAAGTCTTTTAGGAATCAGCGAAAAGAGTCACAAAACTTAAGTTGCTGCAGAGTGCAGACGACAAATGAGACACCATATTGGCGGGAATCCGACTCGAAAATTCCGTGATTATACACTTTGTGACCAACGCACATGTCCGCGACCCATGGTCTGGCTAATAAACAAGAAATGCACATCAACGACATTATATAAATTTGGTGTCTTTAGACAATTTGTTAGACATAGCTATTTGAAGTGTTAATATATCTTTGTCGAAATTTAACTCTGCGACACAAATGAAGCTCCATAACTAAATATTGAACATCATTTGCACAAGAGGGCGGAGGGGTATGTCAGGATAGGCACTACCACAAAAACACGATGACTCAAGATGTAGAGTTGAAAAGTTTTTATTGGCTGTAGATATGTACAATGTACAAACAAACAAGAGCCTCTGTAAGTGCAGATCTAGAAAAGAACGAAAAGAAAGAACAATCATGATTACATGTTCACATCAATGATACACAATCATAATCTAACACACGTGTCTGGTTTTAAATACCAATAGAATAAATTCAACTTTACCATCATCCGATTCGTCTAATAATGAAGAATGTCGAACTTGTATGATTATAATAAACTGTGTGTCCAAGACTAATCAGTCTCAACAAATATCAATCAACCGTTTCCCCCATCATCAACTCTTTAATATGCCATATCATATGTTACTCCACTAATCTCATTTAGAATCCAAGTAACTAAAATAAAATGTAGATGTTACTTCAACTAACAAAGACAACTCTTAACTCTTGACAAGAGACACTATGTAATCGATGTTTTCCTCTAACATGTGCATCCTGATTTAAGCAACCTTAATAAAGGAATAATAAGTGCTTTGAAGTGCATATACGAAACAAAATAATGAATTATCTCAAGAATAACACAAAATATATACTGGTTCACATGTATATTCGGCTACCCTGACTCACCCAACCAAACTCTAACAGCAGTTACACTGAAAACTCCTTGTTGCTCGGTGCTATACGAAACATTCCTGGATGCAGTCATCTACGAGGAATATACAACACGACACTAATGAATATCCAATACCGTGTACAAGATTGTATTTATACACCAATCTTTGGAGCTTTCTGTAAAATCCTTTAACGAACCAAAATCAATGAGTACAGGCGAAATGATTAATTAATCCAACCTAGCACTTTGTAATCTGACCATCACAATAATGGTTCCACACAAAACATTGCTTTTGTAATAATTATTATGATTTAAAAAAAAAAAATCTTTCATTCTATGTGCCCCTTTGCTCGACTACCAAAACATATGAGGGGCATGCCAAACGAAAATCATACAAATCTTCAGGTTTAAGAACTAACGTCTGTGAAAAGTTATGCCAAGTACCAAAGTATGAATCCGATGACCGGGGTAATAATATATCTGTAATGCGCTTAGGCACATCGTTGGATCGGTGTATTGAGCGCTATATAAAAAAAACGGATTATTATTATTATTATTATTATAATATAACGTCACACTTGACAACTAGCCTAGTTGTCAAGGTTGCTGGTTTCAAACATCTTGTGCTTAACAATGGCGTGATAATCACACCAGTGCCAAGCATTGAATTTGCCCGCCCCTCAGCCGCATGTCAATCTACCTTATACCTTCTGTGGTACATCTGGTTCATCTCGCAATTTTATTGGTGCAGTCCTGACACTGTGCGCGTCATGGCAATGTACCCGCACAATTCGTCCCTATGGCTTCAGGTACCTATAACTGTGATCGCTGTTCGTCGTCCGTCTTGCGTTAGCTTTTTATATTTTGTTTTAATTCTCCTATAAAACACATGGACGCAGTAACTTGTCAAGTATCATCAGGGGGGGGGGGGTCTACATTTGCCCCTCTAGAGCCTAAACTGCCCTTTTGGGTTACTTTAACATTAGCTTATATTTACAAAAAAAAAATCATAAAACAATTTTTAAAAAACTAGCAAAAAAAAAAAGGGGGAATGGTTATCTATCACACCAATATTTCAAGTTATAAAAACAGGTTTTTTAAAGAATGTTGGCCATCTAGCAATTGTTACCATGAATATTACACATAATAACATTTACGTTCAGATGATATAGACATGTTTTTTGTGTAGGACAATTTAGCATGCACTTGTGGGTCAAACTGCTTCACCGTTTGTAAGCAATCGAGATGGAACTTGGTTGACATACATACGGTAGCCTATACAGGTGTATAGTGCTAGTATCCTTGGCTTCATTGTTGTATATTCCTCTCATAAAGCGGTAATGTGTGGGCTATAAACGCATTTAGTGAAAAGTACATTTTATGTACGAAAATAAATTAAAAATAAATACTTTATGGATATGTAAAGTAGAATGTAAGTGGACAACAAGGGTCTGGTATTGGGACCGTGGGGATAGCAAACCGCACGTTTCGTCCCTTAGACAGAACGTGGGAGTCACGGGCGAAATGTGCGAGCTGAAAACCCGCATACTTGGTCCGTAGGACAAACGTGTGCCCAGGACAAAATATGTGTTCACATTGGCCTGTATCCGAGGGTGACTTTTAATTTCAACCTATCTGTGGGCCCTGTCGTAGTAATATGAGTTGTGATTGATATCAATCGAAAAATAAGTTTCGATTAGTTGTTAATTTGGCAGTGCCCTAGTCTTAATTAACTCCATGACAACTTTTTTAATCATCTCCTTGTAGACGCTTTACAATGGAAATTTGGAAATAAACTCAAACCCAGTGCTAAGAATACCTTGACTTGAGATAAAGATTTGTAACATTTAAACTAACCTGCCATGCTAGTAAACAACTCGACATCCATTATGTAGTTTCCCAAAAGCATACCAGTAGATGTCTGCACGATGGTCAATTTATCGTTGCATTCATTGTACCAGTCTCCCTGTAAATCACAACAATGACTTGAAAAAGAAAGAAATATGTTAAAGCATTAGATCATGCATTTAAGATCATGCAAAGAAGCAGGCACAACACCACCAACAGCTCTCTCTCTCTCTCTCTCTCTCTTTCTCTCTTTCTCTATTCGCCAACATTCGTCAGAAAAGTTGGCGAATCTAAATTCGCAACGTTCGCAATGCGGCATTCGCCGCTCAGTGAGATAACCTGCTTAAAACCAATAAAACTGCGTTTCTCTTTCTTGGTCGGGAATATTTGTAAGAGGGGAAATCTCTCCCACCCCCTTGCCCTTCTTCAATACGCTAGTGCTAGAATATACGCCTTGTGACAGGTACATCTTTGCAGCTCCACGAACGCTTGATAATAATAATAATAATAATACCAAAATACTTTATAGTTTGTGATGAGCCAGAAACTCTAAAGTGTGCGGCGGTCATTTATAACCAGAGAGATTCAGGATTATCAGAGAAGCGAGGAGGGGTCACATTCATATCTTGAATACTGCTACCCATCTCTTAGCTCTCTCAGTGGGGAGGAGAAAAAGATACAAAGAATGTCATTTATTCTCAATAGGGGCGTTTTCGGCCCCCTGGATCTGCCTTTGTATGGGGGGGGGGGAGGGGACTGGCGAAACTTGTTTTTGAATACTGGGATGACATTCAGCGCCTTACCTGTACCTAACTCATAGGCATGTCATACTTACATGTGCTTGAGTGGTTGTGAATAATGATTCAGCCGGATTGCGACCTCCTTAAATTGCTGAAGCGCGGTATAGTAAGAGGGGATCTTTGCTGATCCGTGATGGCTTATTGGTCCGCAGTATATCACCTAAATAAGGGGAACCTGTAGAAGGCAATGTCAAATCACTGCAGTATCTTTCCAAAGAATAACAATGGCTAGACATCTAAAAAGTAAACATAATGGGAAAAGTATTTTTCTTCTCATCAGAAGGATTATTCTGTGCTCGATAGTGACTATCATGTGGGACAGGTGACACCAGACCGTCATCCAGCCACTGTACGCAACAGTAGTCTAATGCAAACTATCCTCATGGTTGATGTTCATGCTTAAGTTGATCACGGTAGAGCTGACGGCATAGTATGGACCTGGAACTAGAAATGAAAGAGGAGAGAGATGGATAGAGTGGTGTACAAGTCAACAACAAGTTATTACAAATACATTTTTTCCACCATCCGAGACGACTGTGGACTTCGAAAAGTCTAGGCGACAGGTCCAGAAACCGGAGTGACTATATCACCACGAACAGGAAATGTCAGAACTCTATACATCGAGCTAATTGGTATCCAGGAGCTGACTGCTACAGCGACTATGTGCTCATCATATGTCACATGCGGGTCAGGCTTAGAACGTTGAAGAAGATGGAGGCAAGCCAGAGATTGGAACTGAACCTTGTAAGAGAGGACAAATAACTGAAGGAAAAGTACTAATTGGCAGGAAAATTAGGTTCAGCATGTTATAGGTGGCGGGGGTGGGGTGGGGGGGGGGGGGGGAATGAGTCTCAATGGCCATTTTCTGAAGCCGTCTCCAAGGTATAATCTGTTTGATGAGCCATGCCACGAAGCTCATACTGAGAGTTCTCCTAATGAAAGTAAGATCAAAGATTCGACAAGATATATCAGAAGTGCAGTATGAATTTATAGACAGTATGGGAACTAGGAATGCTATGTCTGCCCTGCATGTGTTAATTGAAAGAGCTATGGAGGTGCGGAAAGGTGTATATTAGTGCTTAAATAGAATAGACCAAGGCCTTTGATAGAGTAAGACATGAAGACCTAATGGCTATTTTCTGTAGGTCAGACATTGAGTGGGAGGATCTGCGGCTGATAAGGAACATGTTCTGGGATCAGAAAGCTGCAATCAGGGGTGACCAGGGGTGACCAGCGAATGTACAGAGATCAAGAGAGGAGTCCGGCAAGGATGCGTAATGGTTACTGTCTTTTTCAGGTTGAATGACAGCTAGACCCAGTTATTCAATTCCATGTAAGATATTTCACACATTTTCATTTCGCTGTATAGCGAGGTGACAATGCGTAAAATATATGACATGTTGGGTATTATAGTTGACGGCAAGAACGTAAACAACCTGTTATGCCAATGATGCTGACCTAGTTGTGAACAACCTAAGTTGGAGGAAGCAGGTATAAGTTGCACGCACTACTGAATAAGATAGCCATCGAAAGTGAAAACCTGGGCCTGTCATTCAACCTGAAAAGGACAGAATGTTTGGTAGTTTCCAAGAAGAAAGATTAAACCAGTTGTAATTTTCACATGCATGGAGAAGAGGTAAAACAAGTATACAAATTATTCTACTTTATAGTTTTGATAACCTCAGATGGTAGAAGGGATGCAGAAGTAATGAAACGAATCGCACTTGCAAAGGTGTCATTTTCAACAATGGGAAATGTGATAAGGAATCGAAATATAAAAGTGACCACTAAAATCCGGATAATGAAGTGCGATGCATGGTATGGTTCATGTACGGTCGCGAGAGCTTACATGAAAGAAATCCACGGTAAACAGAATTCAAGCAGCAAAGGTATGTCTGCAAATTCCATGACAAGCAAGCAACCCCAATAAAATATAAATAAATGAATGAATAAATATATAGAAAAATAATAAATAAATAGAGTTATCCCAAGTTGGTCTATATGCCCTGTCTAGATCGAATGTTCCCTGTTGCTTCTTGAGATTGAGATTGAGATTGAAAAGGTTTTATTGATTGCACTTCGCAGCCAGATGGCTGAATTATGAACAATTTACATTGGCAATGAATTATAATACATACAAATGTGGTTGACATTGTCACAAAGTATAATATACAGTATATAACAAAATTCATAATAAAGTTCATAACTAATATGACTAAGGCAATAATAGGCAAATTAATTCACGTTTAAAATATATTTTGTGAGGTGACACAAGAGTAGGTTAAAGGATGAGCAAGCAGGCCCTTTGCTCTTACACGCTCTCATTTCTATACACGCTCCTATACTCACTCCTGTACCTTGGACACTCTCATAAACACTCACATCTACACTCTTATACACACTCCCATTCACACTCCCATACACTAGCTAACGGTCTGCTCGCTCATCCTTGGACTTCTCTTGTGTCAAGGAGTGTCGGGTATTTAAAAAAAACAAAAAAAACAACAAGACAAGTAAGCTCCTTCCCGACTTTCGTACATTGGGGAGAAATAAGCAAATGAATTAAAAACTTGAACACCATTTGATCAGAATTGCCATGTCATGATTGCTACAAAACCTTATCACTATTCAATGTACATTTTAAAAAGATGTTACAAGTAATTATGAAAGCATAGAATTTAAAATTTAAAATGCGGAATGTAAAATGTAAAAATGTTAAAATGACCTACACACCTTCACACATAATGTCAGTCCATCCAGGAGCACACTGGCAGCTGTATTCGTTGATTCCGTCAGTACACGTTCCACCATTAAAACAAGGATCACTAGCACATTCGTCAATATCTGTAGAGAAAGCAAAATGTAGATTTAATTATTCAACCATTTAATTTCATGGCAAAAAGAGAGAAAAAACAACTTAAAGAGTCAAAGAAGGTAGGAAATACGATCGGGGCATCCCAGTGATAGCCATAGCCAAGGGGACATTCGTTCAGGAAGGTTGGATAGGAATTGAAGGTCCGCGAGTGCAATAACCGCGAGTGATGTATTCGTACCTTTCTTGAGTCGTAAACACGATCCATACATCTCCAGATCATGGTATGGTTTTACGAATCCATTTTTTGGTTGCTAACATGTCAAGTAGTACCCCCATTCAGTGTTATTTAGGGTACTCATATGCACAGGCGCGTAGCCAGGGGGAGGGGGGGGGGGGCACGTGCCCCCCTAAAATTTCCAGGATCGGTTGAAATTTTGTAGACCCCTTTTTTGACCTCGATCGATTACATGTATGTGCCCCCCCTAAATATCAAACTATGGCTACGTGCCTGCATATATATGTTCCCAGCACACCCCCCCCCCCCTTCAGCATAAGTCCGGTGTGTAAAGTCAATACGGGTAGATTTTTTTTCTTTGTTACGAGCCTTTTCAGCACCCCCCTTTTTTCAGCATAAGTCCGGTGTGTAAAGTCAATACGGGCAGATCTTGTTTTTTGTTACGAGCCGGAGATTTGGGGAACATGAATGTGGTCCCTCCGTTCCCGGAGGGGGGGGGGGGGGGGGGGGGAGTAGAACATGTAAAACGTAAATTTACACTAATATCTATGTGCTTTTGGCTCTTCAAATCTATTCGCGATAACGAAAAATAAAACCCGAGAGTAATGGAAGAGGGGGAATGCAAACTAAAAAGCAGGTGTCCCTTCAGATATAGCCCTTTTCTACACCACCGTATTTGAGTGATGTTTTATACAGACGTGTATCTATCGGATATGATAATATCTTTCTCATTCAATCGCCGAAGAGGTTCATCTGTTTGGTGATGTAACTTAAAAGTTAGTTCTTCCTTTATAGTTCAGCTTTTGAAGCATTTCATAGTCATGGTAATAAGAAAAGCATTATAAAAAGGATTCCAATTCAATTCCTAATGAATCGAGATAGAGAATAGTAAATGTATAATATTTATCACTTTCCCTAGAAAAAAGTTTTTTTGATTTCATTATTGTTGCTTTAAGCAATAATAAATAATAACAGTTCGTCCTTATTTAGCGCATTTCAGGACCGCATGCCCTCTCAATGCGCTTTACAGATATATATTATTACCCCGGTCATATGGATTAATGCTTACCCGCACACAAGGTATGCACATTCTCCACTCCCTGGGGAGCATTCCAGCCAGTCGCCATTGTACAAGCGCCATTGCTAAACAAACCACATTAGCTTTCGCATCCTACCGGTACCCATTTAACACCCGGTTGGAGAGTGGCAAATGTAGATCAATGTCTTGCCAAAGGACATTAGTGCCGCGGTGGGACTTGAACCGCGGACCTTGTGATCCACAGTCCACTGACATATACACTCAACCACGATCCTTTTACTGATTTGGTTTTTAAAGAAAAACAAAGTTTCATACTGTTTTGGCAGTGGGTTCCGTCGAAACCGGTGCCTGGGAAACCGAAGACTGTCATGCCTGTGCAGACACAGAAGTATAGGTTGATCCCGTCCACGCAAAGACCACCATTTTGACACGGTCTACTCATACACTCGTTGATGTCTGGAACAGATCAAGAGAAGAAGGACATGAAATCGGTCTCTTGGTTCATGAGTAGATATATGCAGAATATGCTTCTTCTTTGTCATTCGAAAGCCTTGCACGTATACACAACTTCTCTACTCCTTGAAAATCTATGGAGATCCGGCTATATTGGTGATATATTTACTTTATTCTGCAAAAAAGTAAATACTGCACAAATATCTTTCCTTTTCACTGTGATTTTCAGAAAGATGGTACTAGATACTTTTTCTGACTTTGAGGATTTCGTTATATCAGACCAAAATGAAAAAGGATAAATTAAGAATGTAAGTACAAAAAATACAGTTTTCATAGTTTCATGAAGATACTCAAAGCTATCCCTTTTCATAATTTGAATATATGGGCATTTGAATAGCCACCCCTGCCAGTCAGAGGACATTTGCTCTATGGCATCTTTCCATACACTGTTAAAACAAGTATTAAAAAACTGCGGGTTAAAAAATTGTTGATTAAAAAACGCTCAACGTTGGTTAAAAATGTAGTGTTGATTAAGATTTACTTTTAATCTTGCGTTGGTTAAAAACAGTGTTGATTAAAATTATTCCTTTTAACCTATGTTGGTTAATTCTAAGTCGTTGGCAAAAATTGTAACCCAGCATGGATTAAAAACAAAATTCCGACAGTAATGAAAGCCCCCTTCCGGTTAAAGTTTAATCAATGTTGATTAAAGTACTGGTCACGTGACCCAACGGAACGATATCGAAGCGCGTAGCCAGCGATCGCTCGACATATAAATTAAGTACATGCAAAGTACATGCAGTTTACGCGTGCGACAAAATTAACAATGGAGGTTGTCGCGAGGACCTGAGAAATGGGGGTTTGGACATTCTTATCTCCGTGTTTTCAGGTAAGAAATTATTTTAATATTATCATCATCAATTCTAAGATTGTAAGGAAGAAGTGAAATAAGGTTCTTGCTCAAATCAAAAACGATTTGTGTCCCCTAGGCTGTACGTAGCTCAGCCAATAAGCCGGGCCAATAAGTAACATTTTGATTGCACCGTGCACCTGGCTAACGTAAGCGCACACACACACACTCATCAGTCTGCAAGAATCTTCAACCGTGAAGGAGGCAGACCCAATTAAAGAAGGAGAAGTGTAGGTCTATTACGGATCACCTACCCAAATTGCATGCATGAATAATAATCTTATTTTTTTAAATCTAGTTGTATCTAATTGTTTAAAACAATTAAATATAAAATGAGATGTCATCATAAAGTGAAACGTCTTCATGCATGCAATTTGGGTAGGTCATCCGTTACACTTACTGGCTGAACTACAACCTACGGCCCTGTACGGGCCGGGACACAAAGCATTTTTAATTTGAGCAAGAACCTTATTTCATTTCTTCCTTCCAATCTTAGCATTGATGATAATCATATTAAACCATTTCTTACCTGCAATCACGAGGATAAGACCTCCAAACCCCCGTAAGTTTAACCAACAGTGGTTATAACTGTAACCAACAATCCACTAAAGTTTAACCAACATCGTGTGAATCAAAAAATAATTAACCTACAATGGTTACAATTTTAACCAACGGCCCATGTAAGTTTAACCAACAACATGTGAATCAGCCCCGAACAAAGCATAAATAACCAACAAAAGATTACAATTTTAATCAACAAATGTTTAAAGTTTAATCAACACCATTTTAACCAACATTGAGCAAATTTTTTTAACCAATAATTGATTAAAATTTTTAATCAACCACAGGTTAAATTTTAATCAACAGGCTGTTGGTTAAAGTTTAACCAACGATTGTGTGATTCACCTGGTAATCCGTGGTTGATTAAATTTTAACCAACTTGATTAAAAATTGTAATACTTGTTCTAACAGTGTACTAACATACAAATAATGAAAAAACCTCACAAATCACTTTTCACATTTCCCTGAATTCAACTATCTATTTGAAGTGAAAGTCGGAGTAAATCCTCAAATATCAAAGAAGGAAACACTTACTCATTTCACAATTGTCGCCCTCATATCCTGCTGCACAGGTACATGTGTACATTGCACTCTGATCGGTACACGTACCTTCGTTCTCACAAGGGTTGGAAAGACACTCGTTAATATCTGGATAGTGAAAAGAAGTGAAACAAAATGTAAAAATTAGTAATGCTGAACATTCCACCCTAAACGTTTTCCAGCATGAGGGTTGGTATCTAATTGGTTATACTTGAAGATACACAATTGTATAATATTTATTAAACTAATGATCACTTTTGGAAAGTATTGGCACAATATTCCTCACACGGGGAAAACGAGAGTTTGCAAGTTGTTTGTTTTGTTTATTTATTGTTGTAGCATTTATTTATTCATTTATGTATGTATCTATCAATATGCTTATTTGAGAAGGAGCGGTCGTACAATCGTCGATATCTAAGATGACAATATCCTAGCCAACAAACAAAATTGAGAAACATAATTATAAACAAACGGGTTTATCGTAAATAAAATCTGTAAAGGCCTGAAAATGTTGTTAGATATTCTCTTGAACAAAAATTATGTCCTTGTCTTTTTTAGATTTACTTTCTAAAACAACCTGAATATTACATAACTAATTTAGGACAATATTGTTCAACAGTCAATCAAAATATCCAAAATATGATTTTATGACTTAAGATTTCCTTTCTAAAACAACCTGAATATCAAAGAACTAATTTAGGACAATATTGTTCAACAGTCAATCAAAATATCCAAAATATGATTGGGATGGTGCCTAAATATGAATTTTGAACTAATACAGTAAAGTGTTTGTTACGCTGTCACTTCTGACCACATGGTCCTAGAGTTTTGTCCTTCGGTAAAATGCAGAAAGTTTCTTTTATCAGGATTCATTACTAAAATTTACTTTAAAAAAATACTTACATGGGGCAAGTAACTGAAATCAAGGATAAAGTTCTGAAGTACGTTTCACCTTACTCCTTCTATTTTTTTCTATTCTCATACATTATCAACTTAAATCAAATAAATATGACGCAAAATTGGCTTTGGCTTTATTATAGGAAATATGAGAACGCTTTCTGAAATATCCATAACTTAAAGTTTAAGATTTGATGAATATCTTTCTACCTTACCACAGAATCCAAAATTAATGTTCGTTATTTGTCCTGGTTAATCTTATCAGTTATCTTACCCCCTTGATTCCTTGAATTCTTTAGTAGCAAGTAGTCTATCATATTGAAACAAATCTTTCAAAACGATATGTATGACATTTTGTTGTTTCCAGTTCTCACCTCTTTCACAGTGAACGTCAGTGTATCCTACTGCACAGAAACATGTGTACATGTTAGTTTCATCTGCACATGTTCCTTCGTTCTGGCAGGGCTGAGAATCACATTCGTCAATATCTGGTCAGTGAATTAAAAAAAAAAAAAATTAATCCTTATATTATGCAGTTTTAGAAGTAAGAGATAGAACGTCGTCTACGTGCATGGCATGACAAGTTATGTTTTCTTTGACAAGTATATGGCCCACAGAGCAGTATGAAATCCAATTATGATAACTTTTGTTGTGCATCTAATAATGTTTCAGTTGAGGCAAGATTGGCTTGATTTAATGTTGAATGAAAGGGACTTGTTTGTCTCAACTATACCTATTTTTTTCAAGTATCCGATGGATGAATGATGCTTAATCAGCATACAAATAAATAAAGTATATACTTATTTAATCGTTCGTTGTTACTATGCCCAGGTTCTCGTTGTTTATAGGGTTTCGTTCAATATTTCACGAGAACGGTTCACGGGTTTTTCAGCATTTCTTCAGAGCAACTTGCTATCACGATTGGATTCCCCCTTACTGTACCCAAATAGGCACACCATCAGAGTGCAGTATGGTAAAGGTTCGAATTTTGTTAATTTTTTTAACAACAACCAAAAACACCATAAAAACTGGTCAAAGATCACAAGGACTGGAAAGACACTCGTTAATATCTGGATAGTGAAAAGCAGTGGTTAAACAAAATGTAAAAATTAGTAATGCTGACCATTTTACCCTAAACGTTTTCCAGCATGAGGGTTGGTATCTAATTGGTTACGCTTCAATATGCACAATTGTATAATATGTGTCAAACTATGATCACTTTTGACAAGAATATGCACAATATTCCTCACACCGGGAAAACGAAAATTTTGCATTTTTTTGTTTTGTTTATTTGTTGTTGTAGCATTTTTTGTTTGTATCTATCAATATGTTTATTTGAGAAGGGGCGGTCGCACAATCGTCGATGTCTAACATGAACATATTCTAGCCAACAAACAAAACTAAGAAACATAATTATAAACAAACTGTGTATCTAATAATGTTTGAGTTGAGGCAAGATTGGCCTGATTTTATGTTGCATGAAATGGACTTGTGTGTCCCAACTACAACAATACCTATTTTTCAGGTATCCGATTGGATGAATGATGCTTAAAGGGATCGTTTAACAATGTTAAATCTGAGATGCACGGCCCTACATGTTATCGGTGTCTGTGATATGGTGTTATATTAAAATCCTTAAACAAAATTAAAAAAATTGCGCTTCAAAATGATCAAGAAGTGCCTCAAAAAAGTAAAAACCTTTGAGTGACCGGTTCTACCATACTCGTTTTCCCCAAATAGACTGTAGTGTTATGAAAACCGTTTGGCAAATGCAAAATTTGATTTCGATTTTCAATCATAAATATCTTGATAATTAGACGGGCGATCGGCTAGTTAAAGTCATGGGGTTACTGACTAACCTACAGGTTTATAATTATCATTGCAGCATCCTTTAAAGGATCTAAGACAAATTTACCGGAACCCTTTAAATCAGCATACAAATAAATAAAGTATATACTAGTTTAATAGTTCGTTGTTACTACGCCCAGGTTCACGTTGTATGTAGGGTTTTATTCAATATTTCACAAGAACGGTTCACGGGTTTCCAGCATTTCTTCAGAGCAACTTGTTATCACGATTGGATTCCCCTTAATGTACCCAAATAGGCCAACCATCAGAGTGGAGTTAGGGAAAAGTTCCCATTTTGTTATTTTTTCAACAACAACAAAAAACACTATAAAAGTTGTCAAAGATCACCATATACTTCAGCAAGAACGCGTATAAACCAGTAATGTCATAAGGCCTAGAACGCATTTATGTTTAATTTTTTTTTAAAAGACACGTTACAGCTTTATGAGGAGAAAATCTTGCTGAAAGACCGTTACTTAGGACGATGTAAATGAATGAAATCGGTTTTGTTGCAGAATTAATGATTTTATTTGATGCCCTCACATCCGTGTGGTATGGGCGGCCTGTCAAAAGTTCATTTTAAATCTAACATAATAATAGTTTCGCGAAGTTCAGTTCTTAAATTTCGGAGGGGGGGGGGTGCCATAAAAATCATCTCCTTTCATATATCACTGGATATTTACACCCTACAAAAGGAGTAGAGTAATTTTAATGCATGTACGTACTTGTCTGACAATTGGGATCGTCCCATCCTGGTGCACAGATACACGTGTATCCTCCTATACCATCCAAACACGTACCATCATTCTCACAAGTATCACTCGAACAGTCATCGTCATCTGTTTGCCAAAACAAAACCAACACCATGTTACGAGCAGAAATGAGTATGTGGGGAGGGGGAGGGGGAGGGGGGGGGGGTCAGATATAGATAACGAGACTATGGTAGATGACAAACAAATTGGGATACAGAGCTAGTAATATATACAAAGAGAAAATGGTTATACGATTAATTTACAGAAGAAAAATGACAAACTGATACACAAATATATCAATAGACTATTTCATTTTCGTACGCGTTCTTGTATTAATATTCACGCATTGTTTTGGCACCATGATACGCTTCCCAATGTTTGTGTAAGTAATTATGTGATAAATTCGGAAAAGTCATTGAAAGCAACCGGATTTTCTTCTTTTCTTCGGGGGGGGGGGGTTATCAACAAATATTAAGAATGATAATACTGAATTATTCTTCCTCGGGGTGCTTATTGATGTTACTATACAGTTTGTGTTGGTGTCTTAAATCCAAACGTCGATACACTCATAACTCTCTCTCGAGATGCTCAGTAAAATGTTTTCCTTAGATACATACTAGGCTGTGGAAATGAAAGCACTTCAAAGCAGTGGGTTCCAGCCAAAGTACATGTAAACCACCTATATCCTTTATCAAGATACTGATCTAAAATACTACCCAAATGAGTGACTTTACCTGTATTTTGAAGTCCAAATTTTCTAGTTGGACTTTTAAAGGGTCTACATTTACCCGGCGCTCGAGACCAACATGTTTTAAGTAATTCCACTTCCTTTAAATGTATAAAAGCATGGCAATGGCTATTGGAGCAGTCATGCAAATCAGGGGCCATATTTTAAAAACTATGTCATCTTTTATGGTAGGAAAATTGTGTAAATTTTCGTAAATTACGCAGAATAATTGTATTTGTAGTGAATGGGAAGATATTTCTTGTAGCACTAACTTCACGCGAACGCAGTCAGCGTTGTCATCTGTTATGACAATAAATAACATGCTTTACAAAGAGGGGTAACAGAGCAATTGTCACTAGGGCGTATGTCGTACAATCCATTTGTTACTACTCGAGGGTCCTCCTGAGCAACGAATAAGGTGTACTTACTAATTTGACAGTATGCACCACTGAATCCTAGAAGGCAATCGCAGTAATGTCCATTAACAAGATCCATGCAATTCCCACCATTGACGCACGGCATGGAGCCACATTCATCGATATCTGGGAATAAAACATGCGTGATTTATGTTTATGGTGGGCATATTTGTCCAAATTATAGAACACTTGAAAATGGTTAACGTTTCCCCTGCATACAAAGGATCATGCAACAAAACTTGTTTATGAGAGGTCACCTGACAAGGCATACTCTACCTATTTACTGATGGAGGTGACGTGGTTCATTTGCGGTTCATTTCACATGACTCTCAATCAAGGGTTGAGGGTTCGAATCACAGCTCGGCTCTCACGTCTATTTCCAATACACTAATCTACATTTAACAATCTCCATTAGGTGTTAAAAGGGCACCTGGCAGGATTTAATTCTTGAAATGCACTGTGCGCTTATTACGGCTACCAGAGCCAGAACTGAGGGTATTCATTTCCAAACTTCTGTGGAAGGGCAAAGGTCCGTTCTATCATAATATGATATGTGCTATTTTTATTAATGATATTATTATTTTTACTACTACTACTACTACTACTACTACTACTACTACTACTGCTATTATCATTATAATTATTATTATCCAAGGGGAACTTGCTATATTTTCCCCCTTTGCTGGCATAAACGTTATGGGATTGTAGCGGAGATAAAGTGAAACTTTGAACGTGACCTTGGACATCATTGACGTGTCATCTGGCAGTACAAGCCTACCTACAGCAGCCTTATAGCGGTATTTAGATCATCCACTTTGCTTTTCGTTCTAAAACAGTTCGATTAAGTATCACCCAATTCTTGGTGAAAAGGGACTGTGCATGTTAGATGGGTAAAATGTCACTCAGTGTTGGATAAATTGTACTCGACTTTGGTAAAAGCTACTCCAAATTGGTTAAGATTTTACCGAATAAACATGACAGATGGTTTTAATGCCAAGGCTATGCAGACCCAGCGTCCTCCACGTGACCAGGCTCGTGTGGTGACTCGGAAATAAGAACACTTCGACCCTGTTATGTTTGATCCTACAAATGTACATGTAGCACTGGCGTACCTATGGGGGGGGGCAGGGGGGGGCAGAGTGCCCCCCTGACGGGCTCCACGGGAAAAAAAGAAAAAGGGGAAAGAAAAGAAAAGAAAAGAAAGGAAAGAAAAAGGAAAAAGGAAAAGGGAAGAAAAAACGGAAAGAAAGAGAAAAAAGGAAAAAAAAGGAAAAGGAAAGAAAAAAGGAAGAAGAAGAGAAAAGGAAGAAAAAGGGAAAAGAAAAGGAAAGGAAAAAAAAGGGGGGGAAAAAAAGAAAAAAGACCATGGCCGTACGCACGGGGGGGGGGGGGCAGTTGACCCCAGATATTTTGAAAACGTACAGTTTTTTTCCTGAAAATGTAGTGTAGGCCTATACCAAATCCTTCAATTCTACTTTTGAAAATGCAAAAGTACCTAGCTCATGACTAGTTCGGTCGCTCGAACTCCCTTCACTCCTTTTGCTTTTGAGATTCTTCGAAAACTTTTAACGCATCTTTCCCCCTCCCCCACCAGAAAAATATTCCGCATACGGCCCTGAAAAATTAAGACAAATGAAAATAGGAAAATAGAAGTGATATAACAAATTCGAAACTCTTCGCTGGCGCGAACTGCTTGCTAGCCTATTTTGTATTAAAGGTTTTCACTTGCTCGTCCCCCTGAAAAAAGAAAAGGATTAGCATTGCCTAGAATACAATTGTGCCTGCCCCGACCTGCAACCATGGCAACAATAACACACAATGTATGTACCAAATGTTACTAAAAGAGACTAATTCATTTTTATCGCTCGCTACACTCGCTCGCGAATAAAATGAATAGACATTGCTTTGGAAACAATTGTGCCAACCCTTGACCTGCAACAATATAATAAAAAAATGGGAGAGTTTTTTCGCCCTCTCGCCAAAAAGGAATTGAATCGCGTTGAACGCGATTGCGTCCATCCTGACCTGCACCAATAAAAACAAGTTTATTTGTTAATTTCTATTAAAAGAGATTTTGTTTTGCTTGCTCGCTATGCTCGCTCGCCAAAATGGAATTGACACCGCTAACGTGCCCGCCCCAACCTGCAACAACCAGTTAATAATTATGTACCAAACGTTATTCAAAGAAGTTTTGGTGTGCTCGTGCTCGCCAAAACGGAATTAACATAACCTTAGACATGATTGTGTAAGCCCTGCCCTGTAACAAAAAAATCTGAAATTTATGAACCAACTATCATTACAAAAATTTTGCTCGCTCGCTACGCTCGCTCGCCAAAATAGAAATAACACCGCTTTTAATAATCACGTCCCTTACATGGAACAATGAACCCAAGTTTATGTACCATATTTTCCGTATAAAAGAGAAGTGATTTTTTTTTTCGCTCGCTCGCTACGCTCGCTCGCCAAAATAGAAATAACACCGCTTTTAATAATCACGTCCCTGACATGGAACAATGAACCCAAGTTTTATGTACCATATTTTCCCTATAAAAGAGAAGTGATTTTTTTCGCTCGCTAGCTCGTGGAATTATGTGCCCACCATTAACCTGCTACAATATCATTAAAAAGAGAAATGTAGGGGGTTGCCTGCCCGCCAAAATGGGATTGACATTGCCTTAAACACGATTGTGCCCGCCCCCGACCTGCAACAATGAAACAAATTTTATATAACAATTCATTGAGAGAAAGATGTATTTTCGCTCGCTAGCTAAAATGGGTATAAAATTAGCCTAAACACAATATTGTTCCCGCGCCCTGCATGGGACAATTGAACCAAGTTTACTCTCTTAATTTCTAGGACTTATTTTTAATCCAAGGAGACTTGGGACAGTGACAATTGTCACTGTCCCAAGTCCCCCTTGGATTTAGAATAAATTCTTTGGACTTTAAAATAAGTCCTAGAAATTAAGAGAGTTAAGTGGCAATTATTAAAAAAGAAGTGATTTTTTTCTTGCTCAATACGCTTGTTTGCAAAAAAATTAAATTAACGTCACTAACAAGTGAATGTTCCCACCCCCAACTTGCAACAATACCAGTTTATATACCAAACGTTACTTAAAGATTTTTTTTTTTGCTCGCTCGCTCGCCAGAAGTGAAAATTAGGATCGACTTTTTTGTTTGTTTCGGTCGCTTGCCCCCCCCCCCCCCCTGACGGAGTACCCCAGGTACGCCACTGACATGTAGCGATCATAAAAACAATTTTAGATATAAATTTAAAATGCAGATGATGAGGATAACTGTTTATTATACTGACCGTCTTCACAGTTTCTACCCTCATACCCAGGCGCACAAATACATGAGTAGTCATAGTATTCATCCATACACGTTGCGTCATTAAAACATGGTCCAGACATACAGGAATCAACATCTTGAGTGAAGATATGAAGTAAGAATAACATTTATTAATGTGAATTCTCAATGCATTATAAAATGTATGCTTAGACAAACAGGACAGCTACAATTTAATATTTACCTATTATTTCATTAATGTATTAAATTATCAATTCATTTATCTCTGTTTTAAGTAATTTTATTTCGTCGATTTAATCGTGTTGTGTTACATGATAAAGATAAATTTTGTTTGTAAAAAATACTTTACGAGTGGACGGTGTTATAATTGTCAACACCTAAACGATGAATGATAGTCCATTAGGAGAACTGCGGTTCCCTCGGAAGGGACTGCATATCTCCTGGTTGCCTACCTATTTGCATTTACAACCATACTGGCTGTAAAATGAAATTAGTTACCCTGACCTAACCACTATCATCCTTCAGTTTTGTAGGCAATGAAAAAAAAACACAATTAATCTTATATCAACCACAAAGAATATTATAAGGCAGATACTTCTGAATATTGTCCCTGTACATTTATTGACATAAATTCGAAATAATACTGAGCAGCATTTCTGTACATTAAAGAATTTTAAAAAGACGAAGGAATTCGAATCGTTTAACATAACGTGAAATTATCACAATAAAAATAAATTACTAATATTAATATTGGGAATACATTCACGGGCCCTGCATGGATCAAAGAACCATTCCCATTTCACCGATAAGGATAAAAACTATATATAAATACAAATCGTTTACAAAAATTAATGCGGGAAAACAAATTATCGAGTTTTTCTTACCAGCCGTATAAGAAATGCGATAACCCGGATAGACTACGTTTTTGTCCGAGTAGAAGTAGAAGAAGATTTGGTTTGTGTCGTTGAATACATATGTCCTTTCGCCCAGAGGTAAGCTTGTGCGGTCTCCATCAAGTTCATAAATGTCCGGTTGCATGGGATCTACTTCATAGATTGCGGGACCTTTTCCAAAAATGAGGGCGTCCCTGAGCGGTGGTTCTAAATTGAATTCCTCTAGGATGAGCGTGATTTGTGTTGCATCTGCGATTTTCAGATGAGAGTAGCAATCCTGACGATTTGGGTAACCATTTGGGTAACCGGGACTCGTGATATTCCCTTCACTGTCGTAGTAAATGATATTGCATCCAGCGTTCCCTGCGAAGAATTTAAACGAAATATTTTAAAAAGGGATATTATTTTATAGATTGAACTTTTCTATTCCGATGCAACCCTAAATCACTAACAGAGTGACGACAACCGATGAAAAAGTTGCATACATTGACATCTACCCCCAGACAACTACCCCCTAGGACAACTACCCCCGGAAAACTATCCCCCAGACAACTACCCCCTAGGGCAAACGATGGTTATCATATGGGGGTAGTCGAAAATCGTTTTTTCTTAGCTTTTCCAAGAGTAGGCAACATATCTCAAATTGATCGGTGACTGATCACCAAGTGATCTTCATTGCTTGACGACTATTTCCGGGCTGTGTTTGGCTGAGAAAAGAACGGAAGCTGATCGACGAATGATATACGATCAGTCACCGATAAACGTTCTCAGAACGCCAACAACTAGTAAGAAATGCCGAGAAGGCAGGAGAGTTATGAATAAGATGTCTAAATATCAATTACTCTTGGATTGGGGATCTGCCAAGGTCGGGTATACTTTTTTTCTCGATACGTGTACATGTACCAATTGCATTTGTTTGCATATTAATGTAGATCATTGTGTTAGAGGTGTTGTGGACTAGTGGATAAGTCACCCGACTGCAGATCACACGGTACGGGAGTCAAGTCCCGCCGTGGCACTAGTGTCATTTGGTTAATCTACATTTGCCACTCCCCACCCATGTGTAAATGGGTACCTGATATGCTTGAGCGCTAGTTATTTTGGCAGCTCGGCTACGACCAGGGTAAGAATGTAAAGCGCCATGAGCGTCAGAACCTGACGGATACAGGTGTCGCTAATTTCATTAAGAGTAATAAACAGGCAATTGATGACGTACGCTATCTCTGTGTCAAGCTTTCGTCCTCATCAGACTTCTTCAGAAAGTTCTTAAAGACCCTATCCGATGAAAATACAACTTAATTTAAATGGAAAACTGAATGAATGTAGAATACAAATACATGTATAAAGGAATACAAAGTATTATCCCTTTCATTAATGCACACAAGCAAATTAAAAACCTCATTTTCTGCATCCCCTCCAAATAACGGATCAACTGGGGTCAATTTGCCGAAGTTACAGAGACGACATAACATGTAGACCTGATCGGTTCACCTATACATATAGCTGAGGCGATGAGCCGTGCTGATTTAATGCAAAGTCATTGTGAATATGCGTATTCCACATTAAGATGGTGTCATCAAATCGGTAGCAATTTTTTAGGTCTTTGAAGTATTTCGAATTTGATTTTTCAGAAAGCTGACACATTTTAAATACACTCCTCTGACATATAATTGATAGTATTTTAATATATTGGCTTATATTAGCTTTCCGTTGATACATAATTCATCCATTTCATATTTCAATTCGGATATGGTTGTTAAGTTAATTCAAAACCTTTCTCTCTGCACTTCCACTTGTGATGATTGTGTGCAGTCATGTCATGCTCAGGGTGGGAGATGACAATCTTCACGTGAGCCACCCTGTGATTCAAATAATCTAATCAAATCGACGTTTAGCAAAAAGTTACTACTCTTAGGTTTACGGCTACAGATATCGCAACAAAACTACTGACCCTTACTAGGTATATTTGAACCATTTCTTACCACGATATGATTCATCACAGTTCTGTCCAGAGTAAACAATTTCTTCAGCTGACGTAGGAACAACTGGACATTGACAGTAGTATCCCAAAGTAGCATTGACACAAGGAGCATTCTCTAGACAAGGATCCGAGGAACAGTCTGTGAATTCAAAATAAAGGGTCATCAAATAAATATAAATATATACATGTATATTTAAAATATATTTGAAAAAAAATATCAATGTTTTATTGGATCAATTAAATTACAGTCATAACATGGAATTGACAAATGCCTACGAGCCAAAATACAACTGTGGTCATTAAAAACAATTAGGTGACAGAGAGTACGAAATAAACTACGAGGAGGAATAGGCAACAATTAAATAGTTGCGAGACTAACAGGGATGGGAAAAAGCGGGAATGAAACTCAACGGACCCCCAGACTACACCATCAAGAACAAATCGACCGGTCAAGACTGGGCCAATTTTTTTTATCGTTTTCATTATTCCAGAACCTTGCAATACACACCAATACTTATATGTTAGAAGTTTAACCTTTTCTGATCGATTCCACAACGTTTTTTTCACAATGCAATCGCATGACCCGAAGTCAACTTTATCTTTAAACTACAGAATGTTCGGGGGCTTGGGGGGCACGGCACTTAGTAATTTATAAAAGCAGGTACTCTGTAATATGACTACGAGCATGCACCAGCCCGCCTTATACAGGTATGGGCAACTGTTAATCAATAGTAAATAAAATATGATAAGGTGTGAGAATGCAATTTTACTTTTGAGACCTTGCGGGTTTGACAACTGGCATCCTCTACCAACCATTTGAAACTGTGCAAAGAGTTCGAAGTTGAAACGTGGCCCAAGTTTGAATAACTCATAATTCATTGTTCGTCTCATTGTAAACCATGCATGATGCAAACAGGAGTAGACATGCGGTGTGAAATACTTAGTAGAATGCAAAAAAGAGACCAGCCCAAATTAAAGACAACCCCTGATCAACGATGGAAAATATAATTTCATTATGCAAACAGAAGACTGGATATCGCAAACACTACAAACAAATAACAATTTTTTGTTTTGTAGCATTTATTGTATTCATTCAGTACAAAATACATTTTTGTTAAACATACTGCTTCATTAATTTACATAACATATCAAGAATATATAGAAAATTGTACATCCCTCAAATGGCCGCACCGGACAAGATATCATATCATTCTGGGCCGTATATGCCTATAGTGACCAAAACTGAATGTTTTGTTTTACCTTCAAAAGGTTTCTTGACTAATTCTGGTAGATGATTTGGATGTTGACCAAACTGGATAATTTCAGAAATACTAAAAAGATATGTCTCAGAATCTGTAAGTACTTATAGATATGTATTAGAGATCCACTTGAAAATGCTATGCTCTTTAATGGATGATATGAGTGTTTCCTTTTTGATACAATGTACTCTTCTTCTTTGGAATACATGGTATCGAGGTCTCGTGGATACGTCACTGGACTGTGGGTTCGCAGTTCAAGTCCCGCCGCGACTCCAATGTCCTTCTGCAAGACATAAGTCGACATTTTCCACTCTCCACCCAGGTGAGAGAAAACAAAATCTTAGTCCAGAGTGGATCTCTAATACAATTCTAAATACTAACGACTTCCGAGACGTATTCATTGAATTCTTTAGCGCCTTGTTATGGTAGCTCAGCTGCAGTCTGAGTAATAATATGATAATTTGTATTTAGCGCAGTAGAGTGTATTTATTTAGAAGCTGCGTTATATAAATAAACCTATTATTATTATTATTACTTATACTCGAGTCAAGAGTACTCGTTTCTCAGAATTCCGTTTCTCAATAGACCTGTAGTCAGTAGCCGTTTTGTATTTTCTTACAATTTTCTAGAGGCTGGATGTATAATGTAATTATGTAAGTGTCACCAGAACCGCAATTCCATACAAATGCTTACCCCTGCCCCTTCCCGATATCACCATCGTTACCATCACTTTTCTTTCTTCCTCTCTTTAATTTCTTATTTTTCTTCTTCTTCTTCTCCTTCTTTTACTTCATGTTCTTCTCATCTTTCCCCTTCCCCACATTTTTTCTTCTCTCTTTCATCACCTACCATCAGCATCACCCCATCAACACTACCACCACTATCATCATCATCACAGTCGCCATTACGTCATGCCATAGAGGAAAACATCGAATTGCGTGTGAAGCTATTACGGTATGACTTCTGGATATTCAATACTGGTAATACTTGCCTAGACAAAAGCAGGATGATGCAAGTGTCGCCAAGAGCATGACGACAATTTTCCAGGACGACATCATCATGAAAGGTGTTCTTGATCAAATTTCGTCTGAGAAAAGAGACAGGTCACTTTCTTCAGGTTCTTCAAACTAAGATATATTTGTTGAACGAGCCTTCCTCGGTGCCAGAAGAGAATACGGTAACGCCTTCCTCTTTGCTCGGCAGCCCAACGTGAGAATGGTGTGAATCAGCCCAGCTTAGACCCACTTTTCAAGTTTGGAGTCAATGGACCCGAAACATCGAGGGGTGTCGCCCCGAAATACTCTGACTCGTGGGCGCATGTTCTGATTTCGTTTACCTTTGTACACCAATGTTCATGGTAAGTGGGTTATCACTATGCGATTTTCAGTTACAATTACTCCTTTTTTGTTGAAATTCCAGAATGAAAAAAAAAGCTCAATAATTATAGTCGTGACAAGATGGATACTGATCAGCTTGTAATCTGAATTTGTGCTTTGCCAATACATGAGTATTGTATTCGACTGTATTTACTATAGGCCGTGGTGAAATGCAGCATATCGTAAAAACTACCCTTGCTGGGAATTACTGGGAACTATTAGTAAATAGATTTAATGGTATATTTATTAGTAATTCATAGATTTATTAGAACAAATCGAATCGAATCAACTCGTTATTGTTGGAAATAATTCAGGACTCAAATTAAACTGTGAGCTAATAAAGAATCCTATTTTGATTTGTTTTTATTTAGTTTGTTACGTTGTCAAAAGAAGTAGTGAATAAGATTTTTAAAAATAACTCTTTGGGATATACCCCCTAGCCTTTCAAAGTTTTACTTCATATTAGATAAGTTCCCTTTTCACTGTAGGAGGAAATGCTTGTGAAAACAGGGCTTACATTCTTTGGGATTACACTGGGTGCATGTGAGATATTAATTCATATCTAATCTGACAAATCAACAGAGCTTACATTCTTTGGGATTACACTGGGTGAAAGTGAGATATTAATTCATATCTAATCTGACAAAACAACAGGGCTCACATTCTTTGGGATTACACTGGGTGCATGTGAGATATTAATTCATATCTAATCTGACAAATCAACAGAGCTTACATTCTTTGGGATTACACCGGGTGAATGTGAGATATTAATTCATATTTAATCTGACAAATCAACAGAGCTTACATTTTTTGCGACTACACTGGGTAAATATTTGTTTAAGGATACCATATTTGAAAAGAGGCAGGAGAGGAAATACATTTTACTCTAAATGTATCTGGAATTAAGTGGCCCTAACTTTAGTCCATACTATGCACCGAGAAAATCTCTCAATATTCTTTAAGGGAGGCTGAGAGTATCCCTCCCCCAGCTAATCTGACTTGCTTGCCAATTCTATTTTTATTCAACATGATCTATGTATATTGAATCAATGATTAATGGCAAAAATAAACTAAGCATGAGCAACGCGTTTTGTTTAGCGAGTGTGGCTGGCTATCCATTCATTATTTCCAATCACGCATGAAGACACGATATTACCTCCAACGCTAAACAGAAACACACAAGGGGGCATATTTGCACCTATTCAGCGCAAACAAGACCCCCGTGAATTACAATTGCGATATGCTTCCTCTATTGCGGTATCTATATTCTACCGAGTAACGAAAATATGGTTCATGTTTTTCGTGATCGATATGCGGAACTTCTATTGACACAAAATGTAGTACCTGTTACATCTTGTAACCAACATCTGACTTTAAAAATAAATACAGCTATTATTGGCTTCTAATAAATAATTATCTCATGCGGTATGCACTAAAAGGGATGACAGGTGAATCATTTTGATGGCGACTAAATAGAGAATACGAACTGATGTCATCACGTGAGAAATGGTGATGCAAGAAATGAAAAAAAAGGGTAGTAAAATGGACATAGTTTAGGAGGGGGTATATACGAGGAAACAGGGAGAATATACATATATATATATATATAATGTAAAAATAAATGGTTCTGCGTCGGTGCATAAAATGAATAGGACACAAGGTAGATAAATAAATAAAAACACCGGAGAAGTGAATATTCCACTGACGTTTCGGGCATAGCCCTTTATCGAAGGGTAGGGCTATGCCCGAAACGTCAGTGGAATATTCACTTCTCCGGTGTTTTTATTTATTTATCTACCTTGTGTCCTATATATATATATATATATATATATATATATATATATATACATGTATATATATATTACATGTATATATATATATATATATATATATATATATATATATATATATATATATGTCTGGAAGGGTGAATAGGAGAGTAATCAATGTTTTGAAAGCAACAGAGGATGAGAAAAAATGAGTAAATATGAAAAAATTAAGACAATTGTTAGATAGATAAAAAGCATTCTTAAAGAGGGACAAATGGGAAAGTAGAGATCTTTACTTTCATGGCGAACGACTGAGTGCGAAGGAGAAGAATTGGGGGAGGGGCAGAGAGAAAAAGGAAGAGAAAGAGGAAGAGAAAATGGAAGAGAGATAGAGAGACAAGGAGAGACAGGGGAAGAAAAAGAGACAAATACAGAGATAGAGAAGGAAAAAAAAAAGGGGGGGGGGGTGAGAAGGGGGGAATGAATGCATTGCCATGGGGTCAAACTTTGACAAATACGTTTGCAATGTCAACATTGAGCGCTTCCTTACATGATGGATTTGAAAGAGATTTCTATCAAAGAGGTGAATAGAATTGTTGTGAAAATGACAATGTATTAAGCCTCATTTATCTTTCCATTTACAGGCAGGCAGGTTATTGCCTTCTCCTGAGGATGTACGGTACACAAAGCACCTTTCAAAATTCTCTTTCACAATTTTCTATTCTATTTTTCTCCCTTACCCCTTTTCGAACAAGGTGACGTATAGCCTGAAGCCTTTTCCACCAGACGGTAACATGTCTGTGTTGATTTATCATTGTCATTATTATGTTTTCAGAGACTTTCAGAGTTTTTATGTTTACGAAAGCATTTTCGCTAATCGAGCCTATAGACCCCGTTGACAAAAGCATGCACCACGCATTATTCAAACATTGAAAATAAATTAGCAAATAACGGTGAAAGTTCGTTAGTGTTCAGCGCTTAAAGCATGATCATGATAATAATAGTCGGCTTTTATATAGCGCTTACTACATCTCGGATGTCTCTAAGCGCTTTACAGATATTCTACTACTCCGGTCATTGGATTTAGTGCGTGCGCGCACACACTGTGTGCACAATCTCCACTCCATGGGGAGCATTCCAGCCAGGTCGTGACTTGACGCTCAAAAACTGTTTGACCAACAATGAAGGTCGCATCCTACCGGGTACCTATTTTAACACCTGGGTGGAGAGTAGCAAGTGTAGGTTAATATCTTGCCGTGTCGGGATTCGAATTTCTCTTCGCGTTTCCAAAGTATGTGTGGAACACTATCAGAGGAAGGAACACTGCATGGTGGCCATTCTACGCCTGGGTTCAGAGTAGCTGCTGTAGGTAAAATGCCTAGACACACGAATCGGGCAGGGAGTCGATCCCCCTGAACTTCTAATCGACATGTTTGCCGATGAATCTTTAAGCTATGGTGTCCTCACTTTAAATA